TTCGTGGATCCGGCGCCGGTGGTGGGGCACGGCAACGCCGATGGCATCCAGGTCCGGGTCCCCGATCTGCTTGCAGACCTCCAAGTCGTCGTAGCCATTGTCGACGAAGGACTCCGCGTACTGGGGGAGCTGCAGGGTCTTCAGCCACTCGTAGACTATGTTGGTGCACATGCTGACTCCAAAATAATGATCGCAACTTTCAGCACCGAAGCCAGCCTCCCCCTTAGCGCTCCTCGCCAAAGGAAATAAAAACACAAACCCAAAACTGCGGTGCAACTAAAAGGACTCAAAAGCAAGGTCAAGGAATCAACATCCACCAGGGAAAAAAAAAAAATGTAAAAATTAAAAGCCTTAAAGCAGATCAGTAGGGCATGGCAAGCACTGCTGAACGAAACCCTCCTGTTTATTCCTCCTGTTTTCCTACCACCAAGTAGAGCCGCTTTCTGCCACGGGAGAAGGGAGACTCGGACTGGAGAGAAGCAAAATGTAAGGGTGCATCCCCTAAAATCCCAAGTCGCTGCTGCACAACATCCACCCACTTTCTCTGGAAGTAATTCGCAGTCGCTGTCTTTTTCCCCCCCCCACTCTTCCTTTCAGCGTTAGTTTCTGTTTCTGCTTCTGTCTCACCTTCCTGCGCTGTGTCGCATGATGAAGCTGTTTGCTATGTGTGGCAGCTCTGGTACCCCATCGTGCTGGGGGAGAAGCGAGCGCAGGATCCCGCACCCTCGCCCAGCCCAGGCAGGGGTGCCCGTGGGCAGTGCCCTCCTTTCCCGTATCTCTCCCGGCAGCGGGTGCACACGGCGGCTTCTGCTTTTTTCCTTTTAAACGGGTCCTTTCAGATTAGGTAGGAAAAAAAAAAAAAGAAGAAAAAAATAAAGATAAGAATCCCATTCACTTTTCCGAGTTACTTTCCCAGTTCCCCTTCATCCCTGGGATGATGGTTAAAGGCGCTTGGGCGGCAGCGCGCCCAGAGACAGCTTTCCAGCCCCACTTTCTCCGCGCTGATGCCGGTGGGGGTGCCCCCCTGCCCTCCGCCCCGGGGCACGCAGCCCCGCTCCCGCCGCCCACAACTTTCCCCGCTCTCCCCTGTCCCTCCCGCCGCTTCCCGCAGCCGCCCTCCCTCGGGAGGCGGCGGGGCCGTGCGGGCACCCGGCGCTCCCCGCACCCTCCGGCGGCGGCGGAGCTGATCTGCGGCAGGTCACCGGCGCTCCCCCCGCCCTCCCCCCCCGGTTGGTGGCGGTGCTGTCCCCTCCCTGCCAGCGGTACCCGGCGGCGGTGCTCCCCTCGGGGGGTCCTCCGTCCTCCCCTTCCCCCGAGGCGCCTGACGCGCCGCCAGCAGCTTTCCTCCGGCTCCTCCCGGTGCGGCTTCTCCCCGCTCCTCCTCCGCGCCCGTCACCCCGCTGCCAGCCCCCTGCCCCGCGCCCTCCCCACGGCCTTTACAACTTTCCCCGCCGGCCGGCAGCCCCCCCTCGCCTCGGACCGACCGAGGAGGCGGCGTGCGGACCCCCGGGGGCAGCGGCGGGGG